TCTTGCTTGATCATAATAGTTATCTGAGGTTTTGTTAGAAAGACAGAGATTCCCAAGCTTTTTCTTTGCAGGGTCTTATTGAGTAATGCTAGAGTGGGGCCTAGGCATCTTTTTTTTTTTTTCACAAGACCTCCATTTGATTTCTATGATCAGGAAATTTGGGTTTCCCATATATCAAAAGGTTGCTCCTTATTAAAAAGTAATTTTTTTATCATGATAGTGAAGACTGAAGTCTTTGGGGTTACATAAAATTGGATTTAGGTTCTGACTACCACTTAATAGGTGAATGTCCTTAGGTATTATTTTACCTTTCTGAACTTTTTTGATTATCTTTAAAATAGGAATAATCTTTGCTACATTTCTATTGCTGGAAGGATTATATTAGATTATGCATGTTGTGAAGCAGATAGTGCCATCTCTGGTATAACGTAAGCACTTATTAAAATATTAGCAGGGACAAGAGGTAAGAATATTATTGCAAATATTTAGGGGGGGGCGATGAAAATAAACTGATGGCAGCTACAATGAAAGGGAAAACACATGAGTGACTACAGAGTTATAGAACTATGGTTAGATATATACATGGGACCCCAAAGAAGAAGTCACAAAAGTCTAGCTTATTTTTGTGCCTTAAACACAAAAAGTGGTCTAAAAACCCCACAAAAACAAAAAAACAGTGAACTGAAGTAAATGAATACAAGTTTTTCAAGTCTGGGTTAATGGTAGACTAATGATAATCAACATCTGAAATATGAATTGTGGAATTGTAGAAGAATACATCATATTTGTTTTCAACTTCTTAATTTTCCCTTAAGTCCCCCCAGTGATTTTTTTCTTATTTTAAAAAATATATTTAAATCCCCCTAGGAGTGCACTTTACTTGAGAAATATATCAAATATATTATTTCAGTTTTGTTATATCATCAAGCTGTGATTTATATGTTTCTATATATGCTTTTCCTGAATCCTTGGAATAAATTAATAGTCATTTCAAATTCCTTAGTTCTTTCTTGAGTAGACAGATGATTGAAAATAAGTCATCTAGTATTTAGTTGATAATGACTAATATTGCCGCCAAAGTTAATTAGAACCTGATTTTATTTTAGATTGCTGTCCATTATTTAATAGTATTTTCAGTTTTTTAATGGTCTCGTTGATTCATTTTTATGTGCAACATATCTACTTTTAGTTATAGTTTATTTTATTCCAGTTTTGAGGAAAAGATACCCATTTTTGTATTTATGGTAGGAGCCTTTTTCTTTGTGCTGTGGATCCAATTTATGTCCTCTTGCCTGCTCTTAGAATTTTTTTCATCAGTTATCTTCTTGTGCCCGCTTCGTTGCTTTCTTCCTCTAGATTGCCTACTTTTGTACATCTATTCTGTAGATTACCTATTCTATTCTTTTGTAAATCACCAAATTCCTTAGAAACAGTAGTCTGAGCTCATTTCTAGTCTATTATCTTACAACCACTTCTTTCTTAATTCCTTGTAATGTCATTTTCTCTCTCTGCCTTGAGAATATTACTCTGCTGTCACTAAGTTTAAAAGCCATTTCTGAATCTCTTAATATGGACACTGTCAGGCACCTTTTTATAGAATACTTTCTTCTGTGCTATCTTGATTTTTGTTCCACCTCTCTAACCAGTCCTTTTCTATATTTCATTCTTTCTTTTGTTGGTTAAATATAACTATTTTCAGTTTACTTCACTTATTCTTTTCCATTAGTATCACAACCACTATCATTGCTTCAACTATCATCTCTGCAGTGATTCCTAAATTTGAATATTTAGCCTCACCCTCTCAACCAACTCTAGATTCAGTTGCTTATTGCTTGGTGGTTGTATTCAGTAGAACTCATCAGTTCACCATCTGCTTTTCCTGAAATTCATATTTCAGATGATGATTATCATTATTAGTCTACCATTAACCCATACTTGAAAAACTTGTATTCATTTACTTCAATTCACTGTTTATTTGTTTTTATGGATTTTTTTGGACCACTTTTTGTGTTTAAGGCACAAAGATAAGCTAGATTTTTGTGACTTCTTCTTTGAGGTCCCATGTATATATCTAACTATAGTTCTATAACTCTGTAGCCACTCATGTGTTTTCCTTTTCATTGTAGCTGCCACCAGTTTATTTTTATCACCCTCCTAAATATTTGCAGTTGATATTCTTATCTTTTGCCCCTGCTGCCTCCAAATTGATCTTTCTGAAGGACGTTATTGGATTACCTCTCAGCTTAAAAACCTTCAAGGACTTTCCATTGTCTTCAAGCATTGTATAAATGCATTATTAATATTTTATATTTAGAATAACAGTCATATTATTATTTTAAAAAATGATTCATTTTCATTTAAAAGAATTTAAGCAATATAGCAAAAGAAACTAAAAATCTCGCTGAGTGATAGCCACCATTAACATCAGGCAAAACACTGTTCTAGACATATCTCCAGAATTATGTTCAGATTGCATGAATAGATAATTTTATAAAATATAATTATGCTATACTTGATACTTCTTTAAAGACATATGAATGTCTCTTTTAGTTCCATTTTAAATGAAAGAATTGAAATGGAAGTAAAATGGAAGAAATTGTTGAGTTTGTAATAAATGTTTCTTTATCACGAGAGGGATTATTTCCCATAAGATATTTTTAAGGTTTTAGAAGATTAAGAAACATATTGAGAGGATGGAATTACTATATTTTTTCAACCTCCTTTTAATTTTGGATAATTCGGAGGGAATCCCTACTTAAAAGATGAGAAAATTAGCATTCATATTTCCTTCTATCTTTGTAATCACCCTTCAGTAATTTTTCATAGTTTTATTAGTTTTACATTGTTAAAGTTTATCACATTTACATTTTGCTCTGTAACTGTAAATTCCTCAGTTTAGTTTTCCTTGCATATATAAATAAAAATCAATGCTTACCAGTTCTCCATTCACGAGTTCTTTGTTTTGATTTATCTTGGTTTTCTGGACCAAGTAACTTTTTTCAGGGATAGCTCATAGGTGCTTTGTTCCTTGAGTTCTAGCATATTTCAGGCTTATGACATTTTTACCTAAATTATATCTTGGCCAGAGACCAGATTCATGATTCACAATATCTTTCCTTCAGAACTTTGTAGGCATTATTCTGTTGTCCTCTATTATTAACTATTTCTTTGGGCAAGCTTGATGCCACACTGTATTTTTTCTTTCTTGTAGTTGGCTTGCATTTACTACTTGAAAGCTTAAAATTTTATTATTCTTCCTTAATGTTTTATGATTTAGTAAGGATATTCTTGATTTTGATCTTCTGAGTCAGTTTTTTATGAAATAATGTAAGCTTTTTTAATCTTCAATTTGTTCCTTTTTTTCCTGGTAAACATTTCCTGTATTTTATGTTGGAATATTTTCTGTTGCCTTTTTTAACTGCATAGGTATTATTTATCTTTATCTTTATCTTTATCTTTATAGTAGGTCATCTTGACTTGTTCTCCATATTCAAGGCTTATTATTTATCCATTGATTTTTATTTTAAAAATCTGTATTAACTGGGATTATAACAAGCCTTTCCTCTATTAATAAATTGGGTTTTTACTGTCTTTGTTCTGTTCCCTGCTTTTTCAAATTTAATGAATTCTGTGATAGTGTTTCCTTTGTCCTCAGTTTGTTTCCTTAGCTCTCTAATCATCCTTTATTTTATCATTATATTGTGTTATCATCTTGCTCCTTTAAATATGTGTTCTTGTTAACTTCGTCAGTGTTACAAAGTTTGCCTAGGTAATTTTCTCCTATTTTTGGGTTATGTTTTCTTCCAGATTGGGTTTTGCATCTGACTTTTGCATACTCTCTTCCCCCTGAATTTTGTTTTATTTATTTTGCTTAGTGTATTAGATCCCATTTCTTTTTCTTTCATCCTGATTATGCTTAACATGTGAGCTCTGAAATAGTAAAAATAAATTTTCCTTGAACATACTTGTTTTTTTTATACTTCCAGTACAGTTTGAAAAGATGGTTATATGATTAATCTACTTATAAAAATACTTATCAAAGTGGCTTCATGGCATGGAGATTGGGAAAGCATGGTTAGAATTATATTTAAACTTTCTTATTTCTAAAATATCTTGAGATAGGTTTTATTCCATCCAGTATGGATTCATGGCGTCTATGCTTTTGTCACAGGTAGTCAGCTCCAGTGTTCAATTCCCTATATCATTCTACCATTTTTATTCTAGCATACCCTCCCTCTGGCTTTCAAAAATGAGAGATTTGATCCCAACTGGTTTTTTGAACTTTATCATTAGCTATACTTTGCTCATAAAATCTGTATTCTCTAACAAAACTTGGCTGTTAAGAGTCAATACATGTGAAGTTGAGGATGCAGTACATAATGCACTACCTTGTACTTAATTGTCACTTATTTAGTATATTTTGAAAAAAAGATTCGTTGTTTTGACCTCTCAAACTTATTAGAATAACATAAACATACCTATTTATTTATTTATTTTTTGTTTTTTTGTGACCGGTAAGGGGATTGGAACCCTTGGCTTGGTGTTGGCCGCACCGCGCTCAGCCAGTGAGCGCACCGAACCCGGGTCAGGAGCGCCGCTGCGCTCCCAGCGCCGCTCTCCCGAGTGAGCCATGGGGTCGGCCCTAAACATACCTATTTAAATGTTGGAGTAATATATGGTTGCAAATTATAATGATGGTTATACAGGTAGAACTTTGTAAGATGGACTCAGTGAGAATCTTAAATTGTTCTTGACTTTAAAATATTTTCAGTAGCAGACCTCTAAATCAGTTTTTACTAAGGCCTGTGGATTTGTTATACACACTGGATTATTTTCCATTCTGAGGTAAATATTAAAAGAGTTATATGTCATTTATTTTTTTGTTCTGTGCCTATCACTGTTTTAAGTTATTATATAAAAACTTGTTAAATTACTTATTGATGTGATGTGCCTAAGAATTAACTTGATTTGAATCTCACTTTCTTTGTTGTTATTGGAAGGTAAATGAAATTGCCTTTATAAATACCCTTGAAGCCCAGAATAAACGCCATGATGTTTTATCAAAATTGAAGGAATATGAGCAGAGGCTTAATGAGTTACAGGAAGAACGTCAGAGAAGACAGGAAGAAAAGCAAGCACGTGATGAAGCTGTGCAGGTAGGTTTTTATTCAGTAAACATTTATTGAGCACCTGTTATGTGCTGAGCTCTGAACTAGGTGCTGAGGATCCAAAAAGAAGTAATACCTAGTCTTTGTTTCTAAAGGTGCATGGATTAATACAGCACTGTTTGGAAACATGAAATCTGATTGCCAAAAGACAGTGTTTTCTCTCTTAGATAAGGTAATCAATGCATTAGTCAGTTGACTGCAGTCATAGAAATAGAGTCTCTAGCAGCAACCAGGTGAAGGATTGAATTGCTCTGGAATGATTGTCATCTGTTCTTTTCTAGTTGGGTTTGGTAAGAATATGCTCCTCTCCCCCAGTAAAAAAGGATTGTTCTTGAGCCAGTATATATAGCCTTAAAGAATTGGGTAATCTTTATGCTTATGACAAGGCGTACCTATCATTTATTGGGCAGTATCACCAGATTATAATTATTTAGCTTTTAACCTCTGCTGCAAACCCTAGGTTAGCTCCCGTTTTCAGGATTGGAAGAAAGATTAGAGCATAAACTGTACTGCTGTTTTATAATCTATTTTAGATCTTTCTCAGTAAAATTCCTCGTCCATAGACTCTATTAGGACTTGACATTTTTGATGTAGATAAATTTTGCAGTGTTCAAATATAAATGCAGACATACTATATCTATTATGACTAATATTTACTTGTTCATTCATTCAATAATCATGTTATTGAGTTACTACAAATAATATGTTCACATGGAGACATATACATAAATAAATTTAACCCATCAGGATAAGTGCTATAGTAAAGGCATTCTCAGTCACACAAAGGAGAGAGAGGACATGAGAAAGCAGGAAAAGTTTCATGGAGGAGATACTTCAACTAAGTTTTTAAAAATGAGACTATTATAAATGATGTAGAGTTAGAGAGCAGATCATGAAAAGCTTTGTTGTTATGTTAAAAATTATGGAAGTTATTAATCATGTTTCTTCACTGGTGGTTTTAGAAAATTAAAATGTCAATACATTTTTAAGGTTATTGATTACTTTTTGGTATTTGTGGACATTAGCAGGCATTTCCATATTCATCCTTGATCTCTTCTATTTGATTTGAGTCCAATGTCTTACCTTAATGAGGACCAAGCTAACCTAAGTTTAAAAATACAGAATGCTCCTATTGGAGGAACTTTAGCTTTTCCTGTCCAAGAATCAGCAAATATTTTTATTTTATTATTTATAAGTTAATTCTCTATTAACTTATACCCTTAAATGAATGAATAAAGTAATAGGATATTTGAATTTTTAATTTTAGCCTTCTCTTTAGCATTATTGCTGTCTTTCTCTATAGCAGGACCATTTTATAAAAAGTCATGTTTTGTAAGTTATGTATTACTTTTCAGCAACTATTAGGCATTAATAACTAAGAGATAAATAAGACATGATCCTTGCTTTATGGTAAATAATAAATTACCGTTTCATGTGAAAGAGTGTAATTAAAGTATGTACAAGGTACAGAGGTACCTACCACAGAGGAGGTCATAATTAACTCTATAGGAGGAGAATGTCAGGGAAAATTCTCTGAAAAAGGTGATTTCTTAGCTGAGTTGTAGGGAGAAATATATGAGTATAATTGTATATTTTTAAATAGACATTTTTGGTTTCTTTCTCTGCATTTTGAAGATTTTAAGATTTGAAATATAATAGTTATTTCCAATTTAAAACTGATGAGTCTTGCTTCACAATTTGGAACATTCAGTAAAGCTTAAAGGAAAACAGTTTACTAGAAAGTAGTAAGGAATTTCCTGTACCTACCAACACTTTAAAAATTGTTTTGACCGTTCGCCCCCAAATTGTTTTGATACTTCAGAATTATTTTTCTTTTTTGAAATGTAGAAATTACCAATGGATTTAATTTTCTGAAAAATTTAAAATTTATCTACATCAGTTTAATTGAGATATACTGACATTGTTAGAAAAATCCACTGGTAATATACAACATATAAAAATGTATAGTCATTTCTAGCTGTGTAAGGCACTAATGTCAAACATTCTATAAATACAATAATAATAGTAAGATCCTAACTTTATATAGAATTTCAAAGACCCCCCCCATCTACTTTATGTTTACTCTTTTTTTTTTTTTTTCCTTTTTGTCTTTTTTCGTGTCCGGCAACGGATCGCAACCCTCAGTGTCGCGCCCGTACAGGACCGGGACCGGCAACGGGATCGCAACCCTCGGTGTTGGGCCCGCACCTCGCTCCGCCAGTGAGCGGGAACTGGTCTGTATGTGGGATCTGAACCCTCGGCGGGAGCGCCACCGCACTCCCAAGCGGTGCACTGTAGCAGTGCGCCACCGGGCCGGCCCTTTATGTTTACTCTTGAAACATTCCCATGAACTGTTAAAAGGCAATTGTGATCCTTGTTTCTTGTAAGTGAAATACTTAGTGCTGTCTTCATATATTCTCAATTGCCATTGTTTTTATGTATATTATTGATTGGTTAGTTTTAGCTTGGTTTTTTTTAGAAATTCTGCTTTGTTTTTTGCCCTGATCATTTGCATTGTAGGCATAAAGAGGGGGTTGCAGAATCCTTTCTTAGGCTGCCATAGGTACACCCCTGCCTATGAAGTATGTGAGGGTCTGAGAGTTTCTTTTCAAGTTATATTTCCAGGTCATTTGTTGTAGGTTTATATTGTTTGTAGGTATATAGACTCATAATGCATGTTATTTTATAGAGTTATGCTTCGTATATTAAACATATTTATAGGAAACCTCTGCCCTGTGCAAGGTGCTCTGTGGGGTACAAAGTCCTATTTTTAGGGGCTTAAATTTTGGATTGGAAAATGCTAGCTCACCTTAATAATTTTTACTCATTAGCTGTATAGTTACCAGTTCTCTTTTCCATTTATTAAAAACAGAACTTAAAAGGTTAGATAATTTTTGAAGTCCAATTACCTCTTAATGCAAAGTTGGAGTACATCTTAAATCTATGAAAACAATCAGCAAGTTGACATTATATTTATGAGTCTGCAACTTGGCTACATTAAAGTAATTATTTTTACATAATATTATTTCCTTTTAAAGGCCAACTTATAATTTTTGCAGTTATATTCCATAAACTTTTGGTTTTATAAAATATGAAATGAAAAGGTCTGTTTCAGTTCTTTATATTTAATGCCTAAGCCTTTTGCATTTCATTGTGAAGAATGTGTTTCAGACATAATACAGATTTTTTTTTAACTTTAGATAAATTTGACTATAAGAGAAAGTATTTTTGGTTATATTTTTCTTAAAGGAGAAAATTTTCTGTGCCAGATTTGATTGTTTTTAGTATTAAGAGTTTTTGCAATCTTATATATCTAAACATGTTTCCACATAATACTCTTGATTAGTAATGAGAAATAGCTAATAGCCAGTTTACAAATAGTATGCCAGACGCTAAAGAATATATTTAAAATCTAATGCATGTGTCCAACAGTCTATAATCTTCCAGATATGCCCTCCTGAAATCAGTGCATTCCCTCCAATTCCCAGTTCCTCCCCCCTCAGAACTCATAGGCCCCACCACCCCCAACCTCACCTCAAGAAAGAAAGAAATTGGGATCTTTTTGGCTTATTTCTTTAAAAAGGTTTTCTTTTCCTGAGGTAGATAGAGTTTGTTGTAGAGATGAAGTTACCATTGTGAGCTCAGTTAACTAACAGATGTTTGAATCTCTTTTCAGTGTTGTCTGAACAGAAACTGCTTTATTTTTTTTCTGCTGTTCTTTACTGAGCCCTTACTGTGGCCAAACTCTATGCTGAGTACTTACCTATATTAGTGATTTAGATCCAACAATAAACTGAAACTGCTTATGGTGAAATGACTATGTAAGTAGTGGGTACTAGAGCCTACATCAGCATATTCCTTTAATCATTAATAGGAGGGGCCAGGGAGAGGTTGTGTGAGCTACCTGGGAACATGGATGGATTGAAAGAAGTGTATCAGTATAGCTAGTAATGTGGTGAAAACTATCAAAGAACTGCTACTGGGCAAAAAGATACACAGAACCCAATATTTCATATTGAAATTTACCTTATTTTGATGAAGTATCTTCTGCCTTGATGATGATGATGATAACTAATTTTTGATAATTTGCTGTATGTCAAGATCTGTGGTTAGTGGTTTGCATATGTATTATTGTTATTTATCTTGCAGAAAACAAAGGCACAGAGAATGTGACTAAATAGAACAGAGTCAAGCAGCTAGTGAATAACGAGGTCAGGAAACAAAGCCAGGGAAACTGATTCAGTACCCACTCTCATATCCACTGTACTGTATTATATTGCCTCTTTCTTCTTCCTGTAAGCTTTCTTCACTTAATTCTATTATGAAAGCTTAGTTCAGAAATAAAGTGTGTTATTGTTTTTTGTTTTTTTTTTCATCATGTTCAGGTATTTCTATAACCATGTATTAACTACAAGCCTTCAGAAGTGGTTAATCAGAAAATATGTGTTAGGTTCCCACAGAATATGTATAGCATATTTGCTTAAAATACCATTTATTGTTATAATTATGTATAACACTGATTAGTGACATATGAAAACCAGATATCATTGCTGTTTGATTTTTGTTTAAATTCTGAGAAGCAGTTCCTAGTGGCAAGCCAGGGATCTACTTGGTTTGAATATAGAAGGGGACTTCAAAAAGTCTGTGAAAAAATGGAATTAAAAGACAAAAATAAAAAATAAACTTATTTTTCAACAGAAGCTCCACCAAGTTCAAGATACTTTTGTAAGCAGTGATACCAGTATTTAGTACATCCCTAAAGAACCGAGGGCCCTAGGAATTTATCCATGTCAATACAGTCTTTTTTACATTATTAACTGAAGAGAAATGGATGCCCTTGAAAGATTTTTTAAGATTAGGTTACAAAAAGAAGTCAGAAGGAGCCAAATCATCACAGTAAGGTGGATGTGTAATGATTTCCCATGGAAACTCTTGCAAAATTGCCCTTGTTTGATGAGAGGAGTGAGCAGGAGCTTTGTCCTGTGTAAAGGACTCTCTGGTGAAGTTTTCCTGGGCATTTTCATACTGAAGCTTTGGCTGACTGTCTCAAAACACTGTCATAATAAACATAGGTTATTGTTCTTTGGCCATCCAAAAGGTCCATGAGCAAAATGCCTTGAGCATCCCAAAAAACTGTTGCCATGACTTTGATGGGTCTTGCTTTTGCTTTGACTGAACCACTTCTACCTCTTGTCTTTGTCTTCAGGATCGTAACTAGTAAAGCCACATTTCATTTCCTGTGACAAATCTTGGAAGAAATGCTTCAGGGTCTTAATTCCACTTGTTTAAAATTTCCATTGAAAGCTCTGCTCTTGTCTGCAGCTCATCATCTGGGCACAAGTTTTGGCACCCATTGAGCAGAAAGTTTGCTGAACTGTAATTTCCCAGTCAGAATTGTGTGAGCTGGACCAATTGAGATGTCTGTGGTATTGGCTATTGTTTCTGCTGCTAATTGTTGGACCTCTTCAATTAGGGCATGAACAAGATTAATTTCTTCCTCACAAATGGATGTGGATGGTCTGCCACTGCAGGCTTCATCTTCAACATCATCTTATCTCTTCTTAAAACCAGTTATCCATTTGTAAACTGCTGACTTGTTTGGGACATTGTCCCCATTAACTTTTCGTAAAGCATGAATGATTCCACCATTCTTGCACCCAAGTTTCACCTTAAATTTGATGTTTGTTCTTCTATTTTAGCAGAATTCATGTTGCTCTGATGGGGGCTCTTTTCAAACTGATGTCTTATCCTTCATAGTGCCTCAAACTGGATCCTGTTCAGACATGTTATAACAAGTAGTATGAGTTTATTTTGGTACAAAAAAAATATTGCAATCCATGCGTAGTTTTTTCATAGTATGTGATTTTTCATGAGCTTTTGGAAAACCCTTTGTATGTTTGTGTCAAAGGTATGTCACCTTTAGTCATTTTCATTTTACTCATAATCCTAATATCTTTAAAAATATTTCTAACATTAGGAACGCAAGAGAGCTCTAGAGGCAGAACGGCAGGCCCGTGTAGAAGAATTGTTGATGAAGAGGAAAGAACAAGAAGCCCGAATTGAACAACAGAGGCAAGAAAAGGAAAAAGCCCGTGAGGATGCAGCTCGGGAACGAGCTAGGTACCACTTCTTGCTATCTTGATTTTGATCCTGATGAACATTTTGCACTGAGTGAATATTCAAATCAAGTCTTAAAATAAAGACATTTGCTGTCATGTAGATTTTTTAGGAAGATTCAGAAATACAGAAATGTGGTAGTAATTTTCAATTTCCGGGAATCGTGACATTGTACTCAAAATGGAAACTTTTAGGAATTTTCTATTAGATGAGAAACTTGATATGTCAAGATTTTTTTTGTTTAAAAAGTAGAATTTGATTCTGGCTAGCTTCAGCAAAAGCGAATTTTTTGGAAGATATTGGGAGCATAAGTAATGGGAGTTTAGAGACCAGGCTTGGAAATGGTCAGTCATCAAAGGCTAGGTCACAAGAGCCACAGCAGTGATCTTTTGATGGAAATAGTGTGGTAAGCATGTTGCCATTTTTATTAGGATAAACTGACCTTCATTTATCTCAACATTTTTCATCACTTGTTTAAGATTCAGAGACACGGAGAAAATTTTTAATTGGCCATGCCTAAGTCCCTTTTGTTGGTGTGTATCTTACTGACATGTGATATTTTCTGATATCTTAATTGTAGCAAATTTGGTTGATGTGGAAAGATAGCTCTTTATGGTTTTAATTTGTTTTTCTACTTCTCCCCAATTAATAAGGCTGAGCAACCTTTCACTTTTATGAGCTGTTCAGGTTTTTTTTATGTAAAGTGCCTATTCAAATTTTTGTCCATTTCTCTGTTGGGATCTTTTTTTCTTATTGGTGTTGAGGAATGATCTTTACTAGATAGTTATTCTTATCAGTTGCATATATTTCAAATACGTTTATAGGTTGTGTCTTGCCTTGTCACTCTATCATGTCTTGATTAACTTTATTCTTGATTGCAGTATAGTAGAACTGAACAAACTTTGTGATTTGTCCCTTTTGTTCCTGTTTAAGGAATCATTTTTTATCCTGAGTTATAAGTTATTCTTTAAAATTTTGTAGTTTATCTTTAATAGTAAAGTCTGTATTCATCGTAAGGGGATTGCAACCCTTGGCTTGGTGTTGCCCGCACCACGCCCAGCCAGTGAGCGCACTGGCCATCCTTATATAGGATACGAACCCGTGGCCTCGGCGCTCCCAGTGCCACACTCTTCCAAGTGAGCCATGGGGCTGGCCCCCTTATCAGATATTTGATTTGCAAATATTTTCTCACGTT